TGTGTTCATCCAGCTCTACACCTTGTCATCTCAGATTCTCCAGCATCTGCAGTTCCTACAATCTCTGATACGGTTCAGTTACACTTTGGGGCTGGTAAATACTGAAAAACCAATTCGCTAAAATCAACACCATTTAGAGTTTCAGTAGGAATATGCCAGATTAAAATTCTGCAGAAACAAAACAGAAGAAAACAGGATGTAGATTTGAAGAGGCAATGCTTATTGGACTATTGGGTAAGAGCAGAAGAGTGGAGGCTAATTTCTTTTGAAAAGCCAACACTGGCAAGATGGGTTAAGGACTTCATCTCATGCTATCTGATTTTATGTTAGACTAAATAACTTGACATAATGTTGAGTTTTTTTTAAAAATCCAACATTAGTGTCTGGAAAGGCTCTCCCTACTGATTATTATAACTTCAACTGCAGATTGGCAGAAACTATGAAGAAACAGCAAAACCAGAATGACAATATGAACTGAAAGAAGGTACATGAAAGAAAGACAAATTTGATAACCTTAGTTCCTGTGAACATGTTTTCTTGCAAAATATCGAATCTGCAATTTTGAACTTTGTAACGTTGTCTAAAAGACAATCAATGCTCAGAGCAAAGATGTCTACTTACTCCACAGTAAGCATCATTGTTGAATATCTGAGGTGGAAGAGGGTTTCCTTTGGCAGGCTGCTTCTCCTGTGGGATGTTGTGATACATCCACCTTCTCTGGTCTTCTAACATTGTTATGTCAATCTCTTCAAATTCAATTTTGTTGGATTCTAAAAATCCCACAACTTCTTGTTGCCGCTTCTTGATCTGCAATGAAATCAGAAATCAGTCAGGAGAAATCAGCCTGCCCCTTACTACTTTTCATCATACACTGAACAAAAAATGTTGGGTCAAATCTTCATTCCAAAGTTGACTGCGCAGAATCAGGGAATGTCACCACTCACTGGGGCTGGGGATGGGGGTGGGGGCTGGGTGGGTGGTGTTGACAGGAATTGAACCTATTGATCCCAGAAATTTGCCAAGGTAGTCACGAGACCGCTGCGGGACAAGGTGAGCTGTTCGAAAGGTTTGCTTCCGTGCTCTGGGACTTCTTCCCAGTTGCAATGAGAAGAAGCTCTAATTCTCACCTTTCACACATTCCTTGAGCCTATCCATGCCAGCCCATGCCCTAGCACCTTCACAGCCCTCACACTCTCCATGCCAATGAATGTTCCTCTACTCTCATGCTGTTGTCATATCCCCTAAATGCTAAATGTCAACCCATGATCCACCCATTAACCTTTGGCGCTATATTCTCCATGCCAATCTATTCAATGTCTACTATGGAAAACTTTAAGAACCATGGTGAGATGAAATAAAGTCACATTCTTTGTTTCTATTATGGACTTCACCGTATTAAAAAATTACACTCTATTAAATAAAAGACTATTCAATACATATAAATCTCCTCAAGTGCCTAAGCCCTTCCAAATACAAACATTTGTATTCTTAGCCCCACATCAGAAACAGTTAAGCTCTATGATCACTTGGAGCTGTTAATCAAACTCGAAACTTATAGCCCCTTCAATATAATGATAGTGTGTGGTATCAGTCAAGCAGCACTAATCCTATAATAATAGCCCTGTGATGTCTATTGGAATTGCAAGCACTGATTTTTTTCAACTATATACTTTTATTTTTAAAGAGCAGGTGATTTAAATGACTTGAAAGCCTGTCAGTCACATAAACCTTCCATTTTTTACATAAATTTATGCCTACTTTTAGCAATTCCAAAGAGGTACCCTGGACCTCTCCAAAAAGGTACCTTAACTCCCCAAATACTCTGGTAGCTTCAGACTTTCTCCTGAAATATCTGAAGCCCATAAGTTGCATTTTGGGATTCATGATCACAAAAATGCTTCTAATGAAGAGGCGGCTGAACATTTGAATGTGCTGCTGTCTCCGTGAACTCTAGATGTGAACATCCGATCCCTGTTCCCCAGTGCTATCTACCAGGGGAAATGGAAAGTGCAGGTTTGGAGTAAGGGCTTCCAGATTCTGGATTCCAGCACCATTTTGAATCTGGTGCAGAGCCAATCCATCTCCATGAAAATTCAGGCTTTGTTTGCATCTTTTGTCTAAGATTTGTTCAACTGATGGCCAAAAGCAACACATTGAGATAGCTTAACAGGAAGATTGACATCCAAGCTTCACAAATGCTTCAGCTCGTATGTATCACTTATGAAGAACTGCTATTACTGTGCCTGGACTGCGAGCTGGTTTGATACAATAAGCCATCCATCTTTATGGGATAGGAAGAGTAGAAAATAAAGGGCAAATTGAAATTTTAAAATCTACATGTTAAGGCATTCCACTTAATTACCAACAGCCTTGTGAAGTTTTCTTGTCAGGAACTCAAACAAAGCTGACTGAAACTGAATTAATTTGGTTCAGTTAGGTTTACTTCCATCTAGGGTAATGTGTTAAATTGGATCCAAAGTTAGTTTAGTTTACATGAAACAAAGGGTAATGGTTGATGGCTGTCCTTGCAAATAGAAAGCTGTTTCAAGTGATGCTCTGCAGGACTCAGTGTTGGGGTCCCTGCTATTTACTTTATGCATTAATGATTTGGACATGAATGTGGCAAACACAATTTGGAAATTGACACAAAAATTAGCTGCATAGTAGATAGTGTAGAGAATAGTTGTAAGCTCCACATAATAGAGTGGGCAGGAAAGTGGCCGATGGAGTTCAGCTCTGATAAGAGTGAGGTGATGCATTTTGGGAGGTCAAACAGCAAAAGACATACACAATAAATGGGAATATACTGAGAAGGGTAGAAGAAAAGACACCTTGGTGTGCAAGTGCACTGGTTCCTAAAGGTAGCAGTATGGGTAAATAAGGTTGTAAGGAAGGCAGATGGAATACTCTCTTTCATTGGCAGAGATATAAAATACAAAAGTACTATAATGATGAAACTGTATAAGACACTGGTGGGGAGGCCACAACTGGAGTATTGTGAACAGTTCTGGTCGCCACATTACAAGAAGAACCTAATTTCTCTAGAGACAGTGAAGACAAAATTTACTAGAATGTTGCCAGGGCTGCAGAATCGTAGCTACGAGGAGATATTGGAGAGTTGGGAGCTGTTTTCCTGGGAATGGAGAAGGCTGAGGGGTGATATACTGAGGTACACAAAATTGTGAGGTGTAGAGCTGGATTAGACAGGAGGAACCTGTTTCCCGTGGCAGAGAGTTCAAAAACAACAGCTCAGAAATTCAATCTAAGTGGCATTAGAGGGGATGTGAGGAGAAACCATTTTATGCAGAGGATGGTAGGTGTCTGAAACTTGCTGCTTGAGTTGGTGATGGAGGCAGAGACCCTAACTCTTTTAAAAAGAACCTGGGTCTGCACCTTAAGTGTTGTAAGTTGCAGGGCGATGAGCCCTGTGCAGGAAGATGGGATTAGAAAGGGCATCTGGGTGTCTTTGGGTCAGCATGGACAAGATGAGTCAAATGGCCCCCTTCTCTGCTGTATCATTTCAATGGCTCCAATATCCCTATGACTTTGTAGAATCTTATGGTCTGTGTAAGTTTACAGGAATCTCTGCAAAAACAGCCTGTTTGCCAATTTTTCCAACAGTTACGATTGGAAATCAAGAAAAGCTCCGGGAAATTTTAATCAGTTGGGTTCAAATGCTACAGTAAATCTGTCTGAAATTAGATTCTTGCATAAAAAATGGAAACAAAATACCATGCATTTTAAATAAATACATATCTCTTATTGAATGATGTTTACTTTATTGCAATTGTCATGGTCACCAAAATCAATCTTTTGAGATGGACGATGTCTTCTGAAAAAAGGGTGAAGGATGGAACAAGGTAAGAGATCCCACTGCACTTTCTTCTGCGATTGATTTTCAGTTCTAATATTAACTTTTACAGAGATTAACATTTCAATTGTTCTTCTGAAATGAAGCCACTCCCTCCCCATCTCAAACTCAAACATTAGCCAAATACTACAGACTGCAATGATTTCAAAAGAACAACATTTTCTTTCTCTAAAAACTCTCAAAATGCAAAAAAAACTATTTGCAACCAATAAGCAACAGAAAGCTAAAGTGTGACATATTCATTGAAAAGCAAACAGGTTACATTTCCAACACCTCAGCAAGTTTTAAAGTTCTTTGTGTTACAATTCAGATTTTTTTTCAATGCGCCTATTCCAAAAACAAGAAACAAAGCAAAAATAGTTTTGAGTCAAAATGTATCATGCAAGTACGTAGTTTCACAGCTACATCAATGGTACAGACCAGATACTTGATCAATCCTACCGGCTACGAACACTCCAATACTGGACTAACTGTACTAAGTGTTGCTTATTAAGATAATTCAACTTAGGATACATTTCAATGCTTCATGTAAACACAGCATCTGTTGCTAAAAAACAAACATCTGAAAGTCCTATCTGTTCTCTTTCGTAACTTTAGATTGTGCGTTCATGACAGAAATTATAGCATGGAATCTTCCCTTGCATCTTTGGCTCAGGTGAGTGTTATCTAAATTAGGAATTTATCTACACATCACTTTAACAAGACAGAGCAAAATTAAAACATAATGACAGCATATCATGTTAATAAACAATGGCACATAGACCCTTTGTTGGACAAGAAATAATAATGGCAACAGTAGTGTGGAGTTTCTGTTCAGTTATAATTGAAAAATAGATGTAACAGATGGAATAGAGTTAGATAAACATCAGTTACATGGAATCTCTGCCCATTTAATACCCATTTAATATTTTTAGAACCACATGTGGATCCTCCTGCCTTTATGCAAGATGGGGAGAAACAAAGGGATGCTGGCCATGTTAGGCTCCCATGAGAGAGACTCCATTTATCTCTCAACGTTCTTTAAATATGAATTCACAGTGGGAATTTTGCTGTCTGAGGTATTCAAAGACATCTGACCCACTAATGTTCTAAACCAAAAATGAGGCATTGGCAGAACTATAAATAAAAGCAAAATGCTGCATGCCAGAAATCTGAAGCCACCATAGAGAATGCTGGAGAAACTCAACAGGTCCTTTAGCTTCTGGGGAGAGAAAAACAGAATTAACATTTTGGGTTCCCCAGTCTGACTCTTCTGGAGTTCTGAAGAAATCATACTAGACTTTAAATGTTAACTCTGTTTTTCTCTCCAGGGATGCAGCCAGACCTGCTAGTTCCTCCAGCATTCTCTGTGTTTATTAGTGATAGAACTATGTTACCTCATATGAGGACAGCTAACATGTAACATGCAGCAACAATATTCAACTGTGCTCTTAAACTTTCTCTTTATTTCCAAACATATTGGAACTCTGTCCTTTACGGTGGGTGATGTTAGAAACAACAAATAGGGCTACTGTCATGCAGTACCATCTCCACTTGACTAAAATGAGATTTGGGCTAAAGTGTATGTTACCTCCTGCTCTGAAGAATCAGGTTCCTACCTTTATATTTGCTGTGCCAACAACTGTGTTTTGACAGTCATCGTTTCTTGTAGAAAGAATGTATATTTAAATGGCACCTTTCACAATCTTATGTCACTGCAAAGTTCCAAAGTTGTTATACTGTAGGGATCCTTTGGAAAGTGTAAAATGCACATGTGGATCTTATAAATTTTTGCAGAGGGTAATAACAATTTTGTCCCATTATACAGAAACTTATCAAATTTATTGCACAGGTTCTGAAGTGGAACATCTGCTCCAATGTGAAGCTTCTCTTCCAAGAACTCCTCAAGTGAAATCATCAGATCCATCGAACTCTGACAAACACATGCTTAATTTTC